CCATACAGGCTGTACAGTGTCCTCTGACAGTGTGCCCATACAGGTTGGCGACAGACAGGGCCTGACAGCGATGCTCATGCGCTGCTGGACGTGACTGTGAAGATGGCAATCTGTAAAATGTTATCAGCAGAAACCAACCTGACCGAAAGAAAGCACTCAATTCCTGTTTGGCAGAAAAGGAGCCAGAGCTGTGAAAAAGCCTGTTGTCTGGCTGGCTGGGGTTCGGGTCTGCGCGGTTCTGGCCTTTGTGTTCAACCATTCAAGCAGGTGATTTTCTGTGCACTGGGCCCGCTGCCTCAAGGTAACAGACGATGCTTCGGTGCATTTCGGGCAGGGGCGCTTTCGTGCTGCTGCCACAGCCTTCCAGCAGGGGGCGCGCTCGCTCTCCCCTAGTGAACGGCTCTACCACTGCGGGTCTCGATCTGAGGTGTGCGTGTGTGCTGGGGGGAGAAGTGTCGCAAAACAGACAAACCAGATAACTGAACAAGTCATGTGTTTATTCCAGGCTGAAAAGAGAAGAAAGAAAACACAAGGTTTCGGCCCTGGAGCCGCCTTCTTTCGCCTTTGACACCCGAAGAAGGCTCCACGGCCGAAACGTTGTGTTTTCTCTCTTCTCTTTTCAGAATGGCATAAACCTATTGTTCCTTTGCAGCCTACGCAGCTCCCCACCTGAACGACAGGGTCCGCACGAAACTCAAGTGATAAAGACAAAGGCCAACATTGTTAAACGCAATGAAACAGAAACGGCCGCCGCGCCAGCAGATATAGTCCATTTTCACTACTGTATCCGAAGATAGCATCGGGGCTGTCAGCCGTGCAGTCTGGATACATGCCCCCTACACAGGAGTGATTGGAACAGCGGAAATTGGGAAGGCCGTATCGCGTCCTGTAGACAATCCCCCAATGCGAGTGTTTCTCAGGGCAAGTGTCCGTATTGAGCAGTGTTCCGTCGCGCACACAGGTTATGAAATCAGCGCACATAGGAAATTGAACTGCGCACAAAAAATTAAATCCCCCCCCACACCAAAATATGATGATAATAAAACACGGTCGTCAATTGATAAAATGCTAAATTGAGCACGAGACAAGCTGCGAGGGGCCCGACTTGGCTGTGTGCCCTTATAATTGCTACTCGATCATCGACATCTATGCTCTCGTCTCGTACCTCCCTGCACTCAGTCTCTATAACTGGGCTCGTTGAGTCGTAATGCTGCTTAATATAATTGCTTACATTTATGTAGCGCTTTTCTGGACACTCCACTCAAAGCGCTTTACAGGTAATGGGGATCCCCTCCACCACCACCACTGTGCAGCCCCACCTGGATGATGCGACGGCAGCCATAAGAAAACGGGACAACAAAAAACGTCCTTTTTCCGAGTTATGTGTTTATATTGCGTAGCTGCATATTCGTAAATCGGTGCCGTAAAATGAAGTGCATTATCACTGGCGCTCGGACCCTCACAGCGCGCTGCTAAAAAATAACTACACCTGCTCTGTGTTAAATTCTTACCATTCATAAAACTCACCACCTGGAATAACTAGGCGTAACGGACGAGTTTAGCCCTTTTATGACACAGGAAGAGAGTTTAATCTGGCTGTGTCTGCAGCCCTGAAGCGCACCGCTGCGGCTCGCCTCCAGGAACTTTGTTTCCTGGAGGGGGTCAGCGGTCGGCTTCTGCTTTTCCTCTGCTCCTGGAGATTGTGTTGCCAGGGGGTCAGGGGAGGTGTGTTTATGGAGAGAGGGAGGTGGTGTCTTCTTCCCGTTTGGAGGGTAGCGACGGGACCGGAGGAGGGAGGGGGGAGAGAGCCGGAGTCGACCGGCGTCGCTCGGGCTCTTCCCGCGAAGCCGCCTGACCGCCCGCACGGAGGACAGCGCAGGTTAGCGGAAACTTGATTTTTTTTTTCCCCACGCAAAAAAAGACAAAATAATGCATCTTTAAGCGTTTCTCCTTCCCTCCTTTCATCTCGTATAATTGAAAACGGCTCAGCGGGAGTTTAAACGTGAGACATATTCGAAAGAAAGGCGCTTTAACTTCAGACAATTTCAAATGGGTGAACTGGGAGCGTTTGTTGCACAAATACCAAAGGAAAGATACTTCTTTTTTTGGGGGGGTGAAAAAAATAACCCAGTTTTGGGGGTACTGTTTATGCCTATGTGATCACAAAGATGTAACCTAAGGAGGGTTTACGTTTTTCACGGTCTCACAAGTGAATCTAGTCAAATTATGTTATGAAAATACCGGAATGTTTTCAGTGTCGTAAAATAACAAAACGACTCTTATTCTGAACATTGTTTCCGACCTTATTAAAACAAATATTGGGGGGAAAAAGTCTCAATATTAGCCTTCCTGACAGTAATCTTAAAAGGTAGCTCTTGGATATATTAACTAAGCTATGATGACAGGTACAATCTCTTGTTTTATTTTTTTACTTTGACTTGTGAACTAGACATTGCTGAGTGTGGCTGGGGTAGTGTAAAATACACGATTTTAGTCCCCAGGTCTACTGACGATGCTCTACTTACTTGAGAGTATAGTATAGCATGTGTCGTTTAATTATCCACCTACTGCGAATTCGTGCATTTTTACTATTAATCTCTGCGTTCGATAGAGAGCCCAGTGATAGCTGAAGCTGTCCCCTGTGGTTCATCTGGCAGTGTTCTGCTTCCCCGAATGGAGCTGGACATGTCGGACGTGGTGCACTTGTCTCCCTCCCTCACACCGTTTTCCTCTGTGAGGTGCAGATGCGAACGACAGACCTGCGCCGGTGGGATGGGCGAGTGTCTCCAGGTTTAACCGAGAAACGAGGGGAGCGTTTTGAATCACCTGGGGGTGGGCACGCTACAGAAAGGGGCGCGTCTGGACACCCAGTGAAAGATGTGACATATTTGTCGACACAGTAGGAGAGCGTCAAATGAGCCGGAAGTGGTGCCTTTTTGCCTGACTGGCCCGCTTAGCTGAGCACCGCAGGAGACGGACGCTCATTCTTTCGTGATGCTTCTCGGGTGGGCAGGGGGGGATACGTTGCTTTAAAGACGATAACCCAGAAAGAGAGCAGAGGCAAGCATTCTTGGGTGACGAAACTGTCGCCAGGGGACGTCAGAGGTCAGGCCAGAGAAGCTGGAAGATGACCAAATATGGGTCTTATCCCCTTTTCACCTTAAGAAAATACAGCGTTGATACAGTTAGAAAACATTCGGAGATAGCATGCTGGGCAGGTCTATTTTTCTTTGACTGCGATATGGGGTGGAGAGAGTGGAGTGGCGTTGAGAGCTTTGCACCATGGGTAAAATGACTCCAAAAGATTATAATCGGCCCTCCGGGGCCGGAATTGACCAATATGGAGAATTTCAATTCTCATTTCAACTGTGCATCTCAGAAAGGAACACTGCCACCTCCACCCCCATTGTCTTCCCCGGGAGTGTGATGAGACCAGTGTTGACACTGGAATGGAAGTCTGAGCCCTCCTAAAGCAGGCAGAGGAGGAAGCGATATTTGGTATGGAACAGCACTAGGTAAAAACCAATCCAGCATGAACAAGGACCTCTTGCAGTCCTAGAAATAAACCCAGTAGGATTTGCCCCATGATGCACGCTATCAGGTTGCTGTGTAATGGGAGGAAGGTATCTGTCCACACGGACCCAGCTAATTTGCCTCTGCAGCTGCTGCAGTAAATACAGCTGAAGCATTTCGGTGTTCTGTATTCCTGAGAGCTACAGTATCAATCCCCTCTACACTCCCTCTCTTCCCAGTCCAGTTAGGTATCCCTGGAATGTGTCGTAGGCGATGCACTAGAGCTGCTTTTCTTTCTGTTGCGCTCGAGGGCACATTTTGACTATCGGCTGTCTGGGGGGGGGGGTGAGAGGGGTGCATGGCGTGTCACCTGTGGCAGCCAGCATTGTGGTTTTGAGCCGAGCCAGAGGCAGTCCTTCCTACTTCCAGGCTGCTCGAGTATCCCTGTCCCTCTGATGCAAGCCGTGGGCCGGGCAGCTGTGATCGGGTGCCCTGCCGCAGGATGGAGGCGCTGTTGGACCAGTGGCTATGGCGTCACGAGTACTGGCTGCCCCCCGGCATCACCTGGAGGGACATGGAGATGAGCGAGGGGGTGCGCTACCCCCTTCCCCTGGACCTCCTCCTGAGCCTGCCGCTGGCCCTGGGGTTCATCGGACTGCGCGTCGTCTTCGAGAGGTAAGCGGGGGCGTGGGGTGGGGGGGTCGTTCCTAGAGTCGACCCCCCCTGAGCTCAGCGTGAGGAGGGTGGCATTGCTGCCACATCATTGTAAAGTCTGTACCAGTTCAGAACAAGTTTGTATTAATAATAATAATAATAATAATAATAATAATAATAATGTATTATCTAAACTCTTAAAGGTGCTATATAAAAGTTTATTATTAATAATATATAATTATTATTAATATACAATATTATTAATAATAAACTTGTATATAGTGCCTTTAAGAGTGGCATCTCAAAGTGCTTTACAGTACAACAACAAAAGAAAAGAAAAATACGTGAAAAATATGCAATGAATCTACCAATGAGAGGGGGTAGTACAAGGAGGTACAGAATACAGTTTACTCCCACAAGCTGTCAGATTACTGCACTACACCCATACCACTGGCTCACACTGATGTGTTTTTTTCCCTCACACTGCGTGTCTGACTTTCTTTTATTTAAGTGGTATGGTATTTCACTTTGTTGTTGCTGCTGCTGGTCTGTGTTTGTTTTGGGGGGGATTCCTTTAATGTCTTTGTGCTGGAGCAGACATGCAAATAAGCATTGCACTGCACTTGTGCATAGGACAAATAAACTGCACTGAACTATGGTAGGAGCAGAGGGCCCCGCAGAACAATTAACGAATTGTTTACTTAAGCACAGTTAAGTAAAGGCCCTTCTAAAAAAAGAGTCTTGATTTGAAATTGCGCAGGGAAGGTGACTCTCTTGTATCCCTGGGGATAGAGTTCCAGAGTTCTGGGGTGCAGCAGGAGAACGAAGGCTGCAAGTTGGGGAATAGGATGATAGCAGTCGAGACAGGTGATAACTGCTTTGCCTATGGGGCAGCACAGTGGTGCAGTGGTTTGAGGTTGCCTGATCCTCTCAGCTCTCTCAAATTGGTCTCCTTTGCAGGTTAGTATGAATGAGTGGGGACTGGAGATTGTTTGATCACTGTTGGCAAATGCATTAGAACCCCTGCAATGTTTTTGTGTAAAAAATATACGGCTTGCAGCATGGGGACACAGTGGTGAGCATCGCCGCCCTCACAGCACTGGGGCCCTGGGTTCCTGTCCTGGGGTGCTGTCTGTGTGGGGTTTGCATGTTCTCCCTATGTTCATGTGCACTTCCTCAGGATGCTTTGGTTTCCTCCCACAGTCCAAAGACATGCAGGTAGATTGATTGGCATCTGGGAAGACTGGCCATGGTGTGAGTGTGTCTGTGTGTACCCTGCGATGGACTGACATCCTGTCCCGGGTGTGTCTTCCTTGTGTCCATTGCTTATTGGGACGATCTACGGCTTCCCCGCAGTCATGTCCTGGATGCATCGGATAGAAAAAGGATGGATGAATGACCTTTTCTGAAACGCAGATCTCAGCTGAACCAGGAGACCGGCACCATGTTGCGTTTTCTGAGCTTGTATGTCCTTCACTTGGCTCTTCCCAGTGGTTTGAGGCAGACGTCTCCTCCTAGCATGGTTACGGGCCACCAGCCAAGCAAACACGACACAAAAGAGGAACCTGAGTGACTGGGGGGGCGGGGTCGGGGAGGTAAAGAAATTGCCACAGGATAAGAGAAACAAGCAGAGGGAGGTCTGAAACCCGATGCAAAGGTCCCTGCTTGGATTTGCGTATTTCTCCTCTCTCGCATTTACATAACGAGAGGGACGTCCTCAGACAGAGAGAGGGTGTGGGAGTGTTCCAGTGCCCTGCCAGTAGACAAGCCAGTGAACTGGCTCATGCAGCAGAAATAAAGCTGATCAAGAATCAGTTTAATGTCTTCTGCTCTGTTGTGCCCTCCTAACGTTTCTCTGTACACCATGCCTGCAGCAGAGATCCTCCCCACAGATCCTTTTGCTGCACAGACATTCACAACACTTCCCCGACTGGAGGTGACCTGCTCAGAGAACTATCACTGTGCGTCTGAATTAGCAGCTGACCCATAGCTACAGCACCGCTGTGCAGTTGTTCACCTGGACAGAGCTGTTCAAAGGGGAAATGTAGTCCCAACTGCTCAGATCGGTTATTAAATCTTGGAAACAAAATAAATTAACTGATGTTCTAGACAAATTTTACAACTTTCGAGCTAAGCAAGAACTCGTGAGCTTTGTGAAAGTGCCGTTAGTTGCCAAGTTGTGGTAAAGTGTTGTTCTCACTATGGGCGAGAGTGGGAGTTTGTGCAAACTGTGACCTGAAGAGGCCCTTCCTGCTCACTAGTCACTGCAACGACTGATGTAATGTGATGTATTAGCGCATAAGTACAGGTTGTGCAGAAGACATTTCACTGTAGAAATGTTCCAACATGATTTGCAAACAGAGTTAACAAATAGTATTTGTCGGCAAAACTTCCAATTTAGAAGGTTTACAACTTCTAAATATTTCAAGAGCGATATTTCAATTGGATTAAAAGAGATGTATTTACAAGCCTGATAATAGGGTAATAGAGCCGCTTCACATCACTGGGAAGTTTTGTTGCCTCGTGTTGAATTGCAAAATAAGGTGCTGCACATAACTGGAAATTTAATCTATTCGTGATGTAAATTGGAGGTTTTACAAGTTGCTTTATGAATTGGCTTCATTACTCTGCTCTCCTCCCCACTGAGAGCTGATGTGTGGGGAGCGTTCTGGCGCACTATGGCTGCCGTCGCATCATCCAGGTGGGGCTGCACATTGGTGGTGGTGGAGGGGATCCCCATTACCTCTAAAGTGGTTTGAGTGGAGTGTCCAGAAAAGCACTATATAAGTGTAAGCAATTATTATTATTATTATTACTACTACTGTGTACATTTTACTTTTCTTGCGGTTAGAAATGCACTCATCAATGCTGATTCTAACTCTGAAATAAAAAAATTGGTGTTGCAGTTCCCCCTTTAAGTTGATGCCCTGGCCTTGATCCCGAGAAAACTGACCTTGGGATGAATTGTTACCACCCACCGGGGCCTGTGAACCACAGGCTGTCAGCGTGTGAGGTTAGAGCCGTGTTGCCGTGTAGCTGTAGAGACAGCAGGTGCGAGGTGGGTGCCCACTGGGAGAGCCGCAGTCCTGCACAAACAGATAGGACAGGAGCAGCTGCCTGGGTGTCTCCTGTAACCGGAGCCTTTTCTGTTCGCGGTCTCCCATCTTCTCGTCAGACACTCTCTGGGGCTGATTATTGTGCTTGGCTGCACCCAGGATTGAGTTCCGTAGGGCTGCCAAGCACACGTGCTGCAGCTCTGCTTCTGCTGTTGCCTCCTGCACACACCCATTGCATGGTGCATGGGACAGCTCAGGTCTCCGAATGGGGCAAATTGTCCCGTCTTTAAAAACCCTCCTTGCTAGGCATGGTGTGAGAAATCTGCGTGCAGGAGCCCAGCGGGTGGAAAGTTCCGGGAGACACAACGGCCCAAGGTTGCTTGTTCTGGGAAATGGTCAAATGCCGAATGCGGAGAGTGGGAGCTACCGTAGGTGATTATCATTGCTCTGACTGAGGGGTGGGCATTGTGGTGTTGTGTTGAAAGGGAACGCAAAGGCTGTTTTGATATTTCAGGGATAGACAGAATTAGCATTGATGAGTGCATTTGAAATCCTACTGAAAGTCAAATGTACACAGTAACGTGTAAAACATCACAAAATAGACAACACTTCCAGGTATGTGCAGTGCCAGATTGCTGTCATTGCTTTTCAAAACGAGGCAACAAAACATCTGGTGAGGTGAGGCGGCCCTATTGCATCGGAAATCTCTTTCCCATCCAACAGATGGATGTGAAACAGAGGTATTGCTCCCTTTCCACTGCTCATTCAGCACCTGTTTCAGAACAGTACCGGACCCAAACGCTCATCCTCAACCCCTTTGTCTTCATGCGATGCCCATCTTTAGTAGTTGGAGACTAAAGGTCCAAAGTGAGTACTGGGATCCATGTGACCCAGGATCTTCAAAGGTACAGACAAAATTAACCCCTATTAAATGTCTTCTGAATCAACAGTAAAACACGCACCAGGAAACACAAATCAAAAACTAAGAGGAAGTGGATTTAAAACTATGTACAGGGCCCCCTTCTTTGTACAAAGAGTGGTGAGTATTTGGAACAATCTACCTAGCGTTATATAAATGTAAGGATGATGATGATTAATAATAATTTAATATTAGCCATGCCGTCAAAGCCAATATCCCGGCTCTTCCAGTAAATGGCTGGATAAGATTCTTAGACCAATTAGCTAATAGCTCCCAGATGAGCTATTTAATCCAACTTTTACTGAGCTGGACAATAAGACCACCATTGCAAGACCACCCACCTGTAACTTAGATTGTTTTATGACTGACATCCATGTGGGTTATGTTACAGCTGTGGCCTTCCTGTAGACTGGCTTAACCAAGGCCTTTGCCAAGGCCTGCGATACAGGGCTGAATGCATTCAGTTCACAGTGAGACTTGAAAGAGCCTGGAGGCTTATTAGGCAAGCACTTCAGGCTTGATATAACAGAATCAGTTTACAAGACAGTGGCGAGCTTCACTGCACTACACTGCCTGTTCTTGTCATGGCTATTTTAAACTATTATATAGGTTTCTTAAGGGCACAAACGAGCCTGAGACTGTTTATTTCCTCCTTCACCAGGCTAGTGGCTTTTCCTCTGAGCAGAGCGCTGGGAGTGAAGGACAAGATCCGGGTTCCAGTGTCTCCGATTCCTGGCCTGGAGGGCTTTTATAAGCAGCAGAAACGCCAACCGTCCCAGGTCAGTCCTGAAAGTCTGAAGGTAGAAAGTAAAGGTGTGTTGAATGTAAAGGCCCTGTGCTTTTTTGTAAGCATGTTTTTCTGGATGACAGAAATGCTCATGGTACATGGTTTCCTGAATGTACTTTTTTTCTTCTTTGGAAACCTGGTACAGCTGTCTGTAATGGCTTTATCGCTTTCATATTTTTTTTCATGCAAAACAGAAGAACATGGAGCTGACACAGTCCCTAACCTTCCCCTAACTGGCTCTTAAATTCTTCTCTAGCTACTTTTTAAACCTCTCAAACACCCCGTCCCTCACCATTTTATTTGAAAAGCTCTGTTTCCTAGAACGTTGGGTTCTGAGCTTGGCTCAGAAGGAGGCATTGTTTTCTGATTGCTTTTTTTTTACGCCTTGAATGAATTTCTCTCTACCGAGAACAAGCCATTTGTTGAGCCTGTGATGGGAGGATTTGGCGTTGTCCTCGTTATCTCGCTCACTCTTCGGTTTATGTCGGTTTTCGTGTTGTGAAGTGTAAGAATGGAGTCTGCAGCACTTTAACCACAAGCACCGAGGCAGTTGTCGAACTGAAAAAGTGACGTGTCTGTTGGTTTCAGCCTCCGGAGCTTGTCTAGAGCTAGTTTTCCGTGCGGGGTTGTAACTTAAACCAGTGCACATGTCTGTCAGTTCCTCCGTGAGCCTTCAGCATGCACAGCTGCGTGAGTACAGGTATTGTTTTTGGGGTTTGCAGCATTACAGCTCATTTGCAAACCTCGCATTTCCCTGCTGCTGCTCCTGATAGCGTCTGTCCGGGCTAAAGCAGCTTCATTTCTATACTTTGCCAAGTAAGGCAATTGAGAACAAATTCTCATTTGCAGTGATGACCCCGAGAATGATGTACACAAGAGAGCATTTGCTGGGAATAATTGAAGTGAATTATCTTGGTCTGGAGTCCAGAACAGTAACTACAGCTATATTGTTGTTTGAATCAATATTGATTTTCTTAAATGGTGTTGAATACTGTTGCTGTTCAGGTCTCGATGAAAGCTCTTTTGTTTTTTTCCCTACTACCTAGATGTCTCCTGAACTTTCTGCAGATCTGCTATTGGGAATTACACTCTTCCCATTAGATAGTTGGCCTCCATTCCCTGGTGTTTTTTTAATTCCTGCCTTGTTGATTCAGTGGCCTGTGTTCAAGGATAACACGCATAAATGGAAAGGGAGGACTGGAGGGGTGTCTGCAAGCTGGTGAGAAACAATGAAACATTTGGCACCCATCGGTCAGTAAATCAGATTTATTACAGGGAAGCAGTAGGGAGTGCTTTGGTCATCGGATTCCAATTTGACTTTTCATCTAAATTGCCTCTTTATTCTACCGAAGCATTTAGTAGATTTTAAAATTACATCATGGCGTGATTGTAGTGTGGAACAGCTAAGTGGTTCCAGGTTCAACTCCATGCTGGGATGCCTGAGTCTTGTGTGGAGTTAGCGTTTGTGAGCGTTTTAGGCCGCTCTTTACTCCCACAGACATGAAGTTTAGGTTTGGCTGATTACTTCAAATTGTCCCTTTACCGGTGTGGGGGCATTCAAGGTCCAGTGAGCACCTCCCACTAAAACAGTGGGTGTGAAGAGAGGCCAGGTGTAGGAACTCACAACAAATCGACTCACAACTTAACGTGGGGGTTAGGGATTTTGAATAGCACGTATAAACCCATTTTACCCTATAACTCTTATACAACATCCTCACCTTTTCCAGTGGCGGTGCAAACTGGCAAGCTCTCCGAGTAATTAGAGGTCACAAAACGCACAATGGCTGTTTGGTAACCAAAGAACCTCTTTTGTAAAATGAGCTCGAGTGGATAGTAGTATATGTTACACGGGGATCGGGGAATTAAAGGTGCGAGCGGATTGAAAGAGCAATGAATTAAAACAGGGATCAAGCTCTTGCAGTAATGTTAGATACATGCTTGTACCATTTGCTGGTGTTATCAATCCTAGTTCCTCCAAGCCAAGAGTCTTTGGTAAATAAAGCCTGTAGAGGAAAAAAAAAAAAACAGGCTGAAAAGCGAAAGGAATTCAGATTGTTATTTGACTCTGACTTCTCTTCTGAAGGCTTTAGGGTTCTAATCTATTGTCATTTGTCTGGTTTAGGGTAACGGCCTGGCAGTTTGATGAGACGGGATCATCTTACACTTACTGTACATAGACTATCATTTCAAATGTGTGTGTTGTTTATTAAAAATGAAACAGACACTCATACAGTAAAAGTGCGTGAATCAAAAATAGTTTAGCATACATTTAAACTTTAGGCCTCCAGAAGTTGCTGTGTGTATTAAAAATATCTTTCTGTCTGGAATGCATTCATTATCCCAAGCTTTGTTTTTGTGTCGGGGTGCCTGTGTCCCCTCAGCTGTGGGCAAAGCCTTCAACCAGCTTCTTCTTTGCTCAGAGTGACCTGACCAGCCTGGCCAAGCAGTGTGACCTCCCCCAGCGGCACATCGAGGCCTGGTTCCGTCGCCGTAGAAACCAAGACCGGCCCAGCAACACCAAGAAGTTCTGTGAGGCGTGGTGAGTGCTCTTGCCTTGCCCTTTAACTTTTTGGGTCTGGAACAAAAATCTGGAATTACCCATGGTCCATCACACCCTGAGCAAGCAGCTTTTAACTTTTAACTTGGAAGTTTCATTTTTCAAGTCTGCCCTGGCCAAAGTGACGGCTATACAGTTTACGGTTTGTCTATCCAGGGTGGCAAAAATATTTTTAAAAGTCTGGTGTAACAAAATTGTCGGTTTACATATACCCAGCTACTGTTTAGAAACATAACATGTGTGTCTTGTACACAAATAATGAGCTTTTCTGCAACAGTGCAGGATTCTGTGTCAGAGTGAAACAAACTACATTCTCTCTGAGGACGTTTCTGTCCTTCACAATCGCACATTCAGAACTTTGATTTCAAAATGGTTCAAGCTAGACCATAAGTAGACGTGAACTGATGGCATTACAGCTGCTGAATATAGCGCTTATACCTTGAAGACTACTGCAACATGAGCGTCTTTTACTTGTGAGCACCATGCAGCTTTTAGGGAACAACATGGTTCCACATTTTCACTTTTGTTGAAAGTGAAATCGCAGCTCCTCAAACTATGAGGGGGGGAAGAACACGTTTTCCACAGCGGTCTCTATACCTTAGCCAGTGGTCCCTCTGGCGAATCTGGGTGATGGTTGAAGCCACAGTAAGGTCTTCTGCAAAGTCTCCACCTTTTCCGCTAAGCAAACATCATCTGTTTCTTCCCCAGCTGGAGATTCACCTTCTACCTGCTCGCGTTTGGGGCAGGCCTGGCGGTTCTGATAGATGTGAGTGCTGGAAACTGGTGAACCCCTCTCCAGTCAGGCACCAAATCAGTGTGTGCTGCCCCCTGCAGGTAGACAAAGTAACCTACACTGCCTGGACTCGGCTCTCCGACACAGGAAGCAGAAATATTGTTTGGAACATCATTCATTACCTGCAATAGGGAAGTGGTATAGATATTAAAAATGTAATACAAAGACAAGCAGTAGAAATGCAGAAAATACAGCATGTTTTAAGATACTAAATTTAAGCTGAGCAGTTTCCTCTTCTCAAACTTGTTTTCACTCCCCAATATTAAGAAATTGCCTAAATGCAGTGATTGGCTCCCTACATCCACACAGCTCCTGCCTGCCAGTGCAACAAACCACTTGTTTATCCTGCAGACATGTTTTACAAAGGAAAACCAGATTCGGTTCTAATTCTTGTTTGTCCATCTTCTAGAAACCCTGGTTTTGGGATCAGACACACTGTTGGATTGGTTACCCCCAACAAGTGAGTGAAATTGAGTTTTCTGCCTTTCCAAGAGTCAGCTTGAGTGTTTTCTGAACTAGACCTGTTGTGACAAGTTCCTCATGACTGTAGCACCATGGACTCAGGCACTTGTTTCTGAATCTGTCTTAATGAAAGTGATATCTACTTGACCGTGCCTTTTTCACCTTAACAGATCACTTAATCTCTCAGGAGATCTATTGCCTAGCGTGAGGTGAGGGCAGTTCACACCCAGGATTTTTAACGGGTTAAAGCCAACTCCTTCTCATTGGCTGTAAGACCACAGAAGTAGAAAGGCTTGGAATACCTGCTTAAATGTCAATTTCCAGTTCATTTTCTAGCTGGATAGAACGTGATTTCAAATTGTATATCATGTAGCAAAAGCAATTTGGGACAAGATGACTTGATTCTAAAGTTGCATCAGTGGCTGGAGTGGTCGATGTTT